CCGGGTCCCCCTGGCGGGGGCGGAGGGCTTTCCCCGCTACTGCCAGCTCACATTTGCGCCTTCTCCGGAACATGAGGGGCTGGCGCCCCCGGCCGCCGGGTGCTGGGCTCTGGCGCTCAGGCTCTCCGGCAGCCCGAATCCGGAGGTCCGAGGGCTTTCCAAGCGGTGGAGAGGCAGGCGGCTCGCTCAAAGGTGTGGGGGCTGCTCAGTCACCGCCGGCCTCCAGCTCCTCTTCTGCTCCTCTTCCTCCTCCTCACCTGCAGCGCAGACACAAAGCAAAGACCGGTCACAAATAACGCAAACATCGAGCATCTTTGCCAAGTCCTAACTGCAGCGGCGGGTGGGAGAGGGGCCTGGGACGGGCTGATTCACCCCGGTAGTCGCAGCCTGGCAGAGAAATTATTAAGAATGATAGCTTGGGCTGAATAATCGCTGCCCACGGACAGTGCTGGAGGTTTGTTGGAGTTCGGTATCATTTTTTATTTACTCCCTAATAAACTAACACAAATTGCACTTGGTGTCTCACAAACTCCCTGCGCTGTGTTCTTCTAGGAGATGCAGCAACACCATGGTGATCCTTTTGAAGGTTCTTTGTTTCTGCTCCATCTTAAGTCTTTACATTGGCATTTCTTTGTGAATTCAAATTCCCGTCTCCCCCTAAAGAAGATGAAAGAAATTGGCCCGTTGAATATTTGTTTCCATTTTAAATTATTTTAAAGCCTGATTTTTATGATAGAGACTATTACAACGAATTAGACCTAGAAATTAGAGTGAAAGCGGATCACCCTCATTAGGTCATTAGGTAATTGGAATTCTCAGCTGGATCCGATGTCTTGATATTCTACTCGGCAGCTGCCCTAAAGTTGCTTACCTGGTATCTGCTTTTAAGAGTGTGCGTGCGTGTGCTTTCAGTGTCACGGAGTGAATAATTCATTTTATGATATTCTTTGGACACATGTTAAACAATTTTAATTTTTTTGTACGTGCAAATAAACATTCAGCAGAAAAAAAGGGGTGGGGGGCGCAGAGCTGCTGTTAGTCCCATCGCCCTGGACTTGAGATAATGAATACTGTCCGGACTTGAATTTCTCAATGGTCTTCGTCAAGAATATAATTTAGTGGCTAACAATCAGAGACAGCATTTTGTTTTTATCATCTATTGTTATTTTTGTTCTGTATCTTCAAAATGACAATTCAGTAAAACTTGTTTAGGATCACGAAGCTAATTGAGTCTTCGGGGCAGCTGAGTAGATACTGCATGAATTGTGTGGAAAGCATAACTATTAAAAACAATTCTGAGAAGTAATTTGAATTAAAATAGAAGTTTCCCTATGAAAAGTTACTAACCTCCTGGTCTGAAAAAGAAATTCAACTCATGCAGAAAATCCATCAAACATGTATTAGGACCCTTTTCAACAAATTATATAGCTTTCCAGTTGCTACGGGTAGCGATTGAGTGAAAATGTTTGATTCATCCTTAGAAATCTAAATACTTCAAAGGAACATTATGATAAATTAATAAATATTTTTATTAGCGATTCATAAATTTAGAAAAAAGATTACATAGCCTCCACCCCTGAAATACCACAATAGTTGTTGCCAGCATTAAATTAGATATAAAGTTCTACAGTTTCGGAACTGTCATAAGAAAAATAATGGCTGCATCCCTTGTGTCAAACTGACTTTGTCAAATAGCAAATTCAGTGCTTCAACAGAGGCTCCAAAAACAAAATAATAGGCAAAAATATATCTTTTGCCATGTATATCTCTATGCTCTAGCATGGGATTAGTTGCAGTGCCATTAATCATGTAGAAATCATGTAGAAATAATCATCTCAGAAATTGCCTACTGAGATTTATGGCAATGTTGCATGGAGTTCTCACTTCTCTCCAAGGGGGTACACAGGAGGACAGAAGGCACAAAATTCAGAAGAAAGTGGAAATTTGATCCACAACATGAGGGACTGTCGGAACACCAAAACTCAGACTAATAGTACTTCCGGCTAGCCACTTTTTTGAAAAAGCTCATAAAATAAATTAATAATGTAAAACTCACTGTGATTGGACAGACAGCAAATCAATTAGACATTTATCGGCTTTCTGTTAAGAAATCAACTGATTACACACACTCGAAAAGCCATCTTGCTAATAAATATCTGTATATTGAGAGTGTGATAAACCTGTATTACTATGATGAAAAAACACAAGATAATTTTGTGTTTCATTTTTAGTCTGAATCATAACTTCATTGTTTAAGACATTTTACACTATTAGGTTATAACAGGCACATTTAAGAAGTTCTTATTTTCATCATTCCTCTTTTAATAAAGTCAACAAATTTTATGTTTATATGTAGACATTTAAAATGTATATGACATAATTTTTTCTTTTTTTTTCCTATACAGGATTGTAGAGATACATGTAACATGTAAAGTTAAATGAAGCAACAAAGGCAATATTCTTCCACATGGATAGTCCTTTGCACATAGGAGATACTTATTTATACTTGTGACTATAGAGAGAAGAGAGGAAGGAAATGAAGAAACATTGGGGGTAAAAAAAGACGCAGATCAAGGGCCGTGACTTCCAGTGATAAGCTTTCAGAAAATTAAATTTGCTTCTTTTTGTTCCATTAAGGCATATAAGTGAGAGAATTTCCCTAGATTAACACCAGAGGTCATACTCATCCACAAAATGTATTTCAAATCTAATCAATTAAATTTATTTCCAGCATCACCTTTTAATAAAAATTGCCTATTTTTTTCTTATGGCCTACAACAATTGCTTTCCCATATTTGTTGAATTTCAAGCTTGTGAACACACACACAAACACCCATCCACAAACACACACATTTTCTTCGAAGAATGTCTTTTTTCAGACCACAGGAGCTTGGGAAAAAACTTCATGTTGTTTGCACTCCAATCCCTTATTTTACTCAAATTTATATTAGGCCATTGTTTATAATTCTCTTCTTTATAGGACTGTCTATGCTATGTCTTTTTGTTGTACCTTAAAAAGCAGGGTTCTCTTGACTTTGGGTGTTTTTGGTATATTTCCAAAGGCAATCAGACCAGGGGTCCCTGGCATCTGTTTCCCACATTGTGTGGTCTGAAGGAAAATGTTGACCTACAAAGTAAATGTTTTTCTGATAATTATTTTTTTCTTTGCCTGGGTAAGTCAACTACAATATTTGGTGGTGCCAAACAGAGAGGTTGTGACGAGACACTGCCACTCTGAA